AGAGAGAGGCCTTTTCTCATAAGCATCGTATTCATTAAATGAATTTCGCTTACTTGCAAAACAAGTGGCAAACAAAACCTGAAAGCAGAGATTGTTTAAAAATGATATTTACTGAATTTTCGACCAAGCTGAATCCTTTGTCACTATTACCCCACCCATTCCCTTTAGCCTGGGCAAGTCCCATCACTTTATATAAACGCTGCAGGCCTTACTAACAGCTCTGCCCTTAAAAAGGAGCTAAAAGGCTGATAAAAGGAGAAGATCCTGCCCTAAAAGGTGCTGAAAGCTGGATGGTCGCTTGAGAAAGATGAAATCAGCAAGAAGCTGCAGAAATTGGGGGACAGGTAAATGGGGCAGGGGGAGATGGCGACCACCGACTCAAGGAGAGACTGAACAGCCTTACCCCCCCATAACAGACCACGCGCTGTGAATTCTTTGTGTACTCTACTCTCAAAAGCTAAGCGAGAGGGGTTTAAGGCAATGCTGAAGTAGAATAGTAACGCACGAGTATCGCGGGTGGAACAAGCTCATCCATTTTGTATAAATGTGCCAAGTTTTGCAAACTCTCTGCTAGGTTTGTGGTGACAGATAGCGCCTGGCAGCCAGTGCAGAATAAAGCATCATTTCCTCTCTAAACTGTTAGGGTTTCGAGAGTGTTCATTTCGGGTAACATGGTGTGAGGGTCCAAGGAGGTGCAGGTGCAGTTGATGCCATCCTTGGGGGGCATCTTCTTAGTGGGGAGCCAGGGAAGGTGGGGTGCATGGTGAATCCCTCCGGGTCTTTAACAGACATTGTTGCCTACGTTAGTTTTACGATGTGGTGACTGAAGCAAATGATTTGTAAAAATAAGTGGATAACTACAGTGATGTTTCAAGACACTGGTGAGGAGGTTTGAAGGGGTGGGGGTGGGGGTCCCAGTCACCTCCGTCTGCTCCGTCTGGCCAAGGGGCTAGAAAAGAAAACGAGAGAGAGTTGGGCATTGCTCCAAAGCGGAGCAGACAGCAGCACAGAGTGGAAACCCCCCCAAGAGCCCTCACCCAGCTGCCCCACAGGCTGAAAGGAGCCAGGGGCACCCCGACACCCACACTGCTCCTTCCCAGGGGGATCACACAACCTCCTCTCTGCCTGTCAGGTTCTTCTTCACACCACACGCAGAAATCACCGTTGGCTTTTGGGTTTTCCCAACGCAGGAAGCAAAGGGAGTTCTCCCCCACATCACTGCCCTGGTTCCAGCCAGAAATTGGGTGGGGGGTGGGAAGCAGAAGCCAGGGGGGTGTCTCTGCCCCTCAGACTGCTGCGAGGAAGCGGTTGGGGATGTGTCAGCCCATGGGCTGTGCAGCGGATGTGGGGTGCAGGAGCTGAGCTGGGAAACAGCAGCAGCAGAGGAGGGACCCTCATCCCCACCCCCGACACCGCAGGCTGTCGCAATCAAGGATGTTACAGCCGAGATGGTGATTTCAGGGCAGTTTCCTTCCGTCTCTAGAGACTGGTACCTTCCAAACTAAGATGTTTACACAAATCCTTCCTGCCCTGGTTGTGCAGGACCACTCTCTCTAGGTTTCTGGTCCTTTCCCAGGACTCCTGGTGTAAGGAGCTGTACTTTACACCTGTGAACAGGGATCGCAGCCACAAGTGCTGCCCTGATCTGTTGGAAAAGGGACACATTTCCCTTCATGAACCAGCCCCACGCTGGTTTGTGCTGCTCCTCGGGTGCCTCGGGAGCTGGGAAAGGCCAGGGGTGGGGCTCCAATTCCCATCTCTGCCCACTCACAGGCACTCTTGCACTATGAAGGGTTTTTGGCTAGTCTACCCAGCCACAGCGCAGGACTCCCAAAACACAAATGCACCCCACAGAGCCAGCAGCAAGTTGCAGATGTGTGGAGTTTATGAGCAAAACGAGCACAGAGAAATCTGTCCCTGTTATCAACACGCTGTACCAAAATAAAAACCATCCTGAGAGCTGTTCTGAAAGCATCACCCTCCCTGAAAGCACCAGCACGTTCATCCCTCCCACGAAACTGTTCCCACACAAGAGTGAGCCAAAATCCACTGCTGTGGAGGTCAAATGGAGCACCCATGGAGCCTCCTGGCAGTAAGGAAAATAACCTCCAGTGGGGAAAGGTGAGAGGGAACCACAGTGCTGTGTGCCCACCCAGGATCCCACAGCTGTGCCCAGCATCCCCGGTGTCCCTACAACCACGCTCAACATCCCCACACCAGGCACAGGCCACATGTGAAGGAGAGGCTGCAAGATGGGGTGGAGACCTAAGAGCAAAGATTAAGAGCATCGTGTATATCTTGTAAATAAAAAAAGTGCTCTTAAAAAAAGGCAACATATGGAAGTATTCAGACCTTACAGACCAGAGTGCAAAGCTCCTGGTAAGAAATCCAGGGTTAAAGTCAAATAAAAACCTCAATGCTCAGGTTTCCAACTGAAGTTCAGCAGAAATTCTCCCACTGGTTGAACCCTACACCCCCTCCCAACTGCTGTCACACCCACGGGACAGTGCTGGCTGAACCCCCCGGCCTTCACAGGGCCCCATGGGGTTTTTCTTACCATGCAGAGGACAAGCAAGGCGAGCAGCAGGAGCTGTTGGGTGCGCTGGAGGGGCTGCATGGTCAGGGCTTGGCTCACTGTGTGCTGTGACACTTCCTCATCTGCTTGCAGCGATTACAGTCAGAGGCTTTAACCGCAGCGGCGGTCCTGTCTCACCAATCACACCTTCCTTCCCTGCGCTGGCCCCGCCGCCCCAAAGGGCCGTTTGAACCCAGAGTGATTTGGGGAAGTCACATCTGCTGCGGATGCTGTGAGGGATAAGGTGCAAGACACAGCATGGGGGGGATCTCCAGGCATGGATGACACCAAACAGCCCTTTCAGCCTCGATTCTCCATCGCTCAGCATGAGGGCGGCTCCTGCTCCCTCTTCCCTGGCATGGCCACACAGCCAGCCCCGAGCAGGACATCCCAGCCACTGTCTCCAGCAATGGCAGTGAGCCCCTCGCCCTGCCTTCTCCCACATCACAAAATACCTCCTGCAGCATGAAATCCCCCCAGGCTGAGCTCTGCTGCTCCCTGGGGACTCCCTGTCCTGTGCCCCACACACAAGACTAAGAGTGGTTATGGGGTCACTGGGAGGGTTTGCAAATCACAGCCAACATTTCAGTAAAGGCTCTGCAATGTGTAACAAACCTCCTTCTCTGCAACTCAGGGTAAAACTGGGTCCAAGCTGTCCCACCGAATTTCAGATACACACCTTGGGGAGTCTGACCTGGGTAATGGATCAGGGAAATGTGTCCTTCCAGTCCCACAATATCCATCTCCTCACAGCAGATCTCTGCTCTCTCACCCACTCAGTTGCAGCAGCAAATAAAAGGGATTTGGTTATTTTAAGATGGTTTGAAAGAAGCAAAGCTACTGAAGTGTGCCAAGCACATACACCTGTTGTCTGGTTTTGGGTTGAAGAGCATCACAGTGCAGTGAGCCCACTGCCAGCCTGTGCCCAGAGCTGAAGTCTTCTCTGTGGCAAATTTCACTAAATTTAGTTAACATTGGCACTTCATAGTGAAGTAGCAAAATGAAAGTCTTTTGGAGACAGCTAATAACTCATAAAAAGTGCTGAAAATCAGCCTGTTTGGCTTCTCTGCAACTAGCAAGGCCAAGCCCTCTGGAGAAGAGAGCAGCATGGTGGGACAGGGGAACACATGGTGGGACACAGGGAAGGCTCTCTGGAGTTCAGAGCATCAGTGAGGCAAAATGAGCGAGCGGTAGCGCCTGGGTGAGGGAAAACATTGCCAGAAAACAGACAAAAGAAGCAACTGAGGCAAAGGAGGAGCAGCTGCAGAGCACGGTGCCTCAGGTCAGGCTGCGCCATGACCGCATCCATCAGCTGAAGCCGAGGGTGTGCAGGGGCGGCTGAGGGAAGGAAGCGTGGCTGTATGCGGGCTCGTCCCAGCGCTGGGAAGCGTTGGAAACGCTCTGAAGCGACTATAGATGGAAAAAGCCCGGTTTTGCGGGAGCTGGGCGTGCGGGGGACGGGCCGGCAGCCCGTGAGGCCACCGCGAGAGCAGCGCCGCGCCGTCGCCATGGCAACCGCCGGTAAACAAGATGGCGGCTGTGCACTGAGTGCGGGGTGAGTGCTGCGACAGTGCGGGGAGGGGACGCGGGGGAACCCCCGCGGTTTGGGGGGGACCCCCACACCCTGGGGGACCCCCCCCAGCGCTGCCACACCCACGTCAGGCCCCCCCCCAGGACCCACAGGCATCCCGGGGCGGCACCCTCCAGTTCCCCCCTTTATTTTGAGCCCCTTTTTGCCCAAAATGCTTCAAAAAGCCGATCGCTACCGGCCTTCTGGGGACCCACGAGGCTGGACGTGAGGGTGACAGGCTCAGAAACATCACCAGCTCGATTAAAACTTCCCCCCCCCACTCCAATCTCTTACCTGCTGCCTCCCGGCCCCAGCAGGTACCAGGGATGTTGCTCAGTCACGTCTCACATTTGTGTCTCCTCAGTTTCAAGCAGAGGAGAGTTCATTTCTGCAGCTGTAATGACATTGCAAGTGGCAGCTCCTTCACCTGCAGCTTAAAGATTTTTAACTATTACAATAAATTGTGGGTTTACAAACACACGCTCTGCCCAGAAAGCAAGGATGTACAGACTAGGAAGATGTTTTGATGAAAAAAATGTATAATTTGGGCCTTTTTAGACAACCTTTTCAGTTACATTAAAAAAAAAAGAATGTCCATCAAGCAAATCCTCCCAAAGTGAATGAATCTATGCTTTGTTTTTACATATTATCCACTCTTATTTTTACTAAAAAGGCACAACTGTAAGTTAACTGGTAAAACTTTTCTTACCATCCTACATGTTTTGCAATGATTGTAGCTCTTTTTCTCCTACATGTGTCCAAAATCAGATAAGTAACAAAAGGTTTCCACATCCTCAACAAGCCCTAGAGCACATTACAGCCTCATCTGTTTTTACAGTTCCATTTTAGGTCATATCCTTCCTACTAGATCTTAGAGCAAAAAAACCCCCTCCCTTTCCACTCCCAGTGAAGTTTGCTGCTTCTGTTAAGCCCAGAGTATTGTGCTTTTGGTTAAAATAGCTCAATATTATCACTTTCTGCCTCACTGTGCAGCCCAGAAATCTCTGTAGGAGTATCATGGTCTTTTTCTGCTAGCCCCCATTTTGTGTTTGCTCTTCCCAGCTGCTGAGATTGTACCTTCCCTTGGGTCCTGGCTCATAACGAGCACCCACACACACTCATTAGCCTGAGAGTGCTTATGGAATGAAACAGACTGGGTCACTCTGGTTTCTCTTATCAATTTCCCTTATAACCTCTGTATTTCTTTACCTGCTTTTGGAGAAGTGGTATTTGAAACACTGACCTGTTTTCTTTCTTTTATGCCTCTTCTCAGAAGATGACAGCCTGTCTCCTAGGACAAAAAATCCAGCACAAGGCAGTCTCACCTCCTGCTCAAGGGGAACAACTCTGAAAAAGAATATGCAGGGTAAAGTCCCTCAATGATTAGGGGATTCTGGGCCATCACAGTTTCTCTGTGACATGCTGGCAGACTCAATACCCCAGGCCAGAGCTAATTCCCGTGGGTCCCCTCTCACATACACAGCGTGCTGTCAGTGACACAGCCATCTCCCTACCAGTCAGGGGCCAAAGGATTTCTACCCAGTACCCCCCAAAGGGTACCCTGGTCCTGCCTGTTGTGGCAGTACAGGAATTCTGATGTGGGGTCCCCTGTGACACAGATGCCTCTGATACCAATGGCCATTTTAGAGAGGTAACACTTTATATTTGTACTTTCAGGCACAGCTTGCACTGACACGGAGCTCATGTCCTCCATGATGCAAAAAATCACTCTGTTGGAACAAAAAATAGAGAAACAAGCACAAGAAATCCAACTGCAGGTAAAAATCCTGCCCTGTACTGAACCTGTTCTGTGCCCTGCTTTGACAGTTGAAGCCACAGTAGCATCACACCTGCTCAGACCTACTTTGGGCTAAAACACGTTAATCTGTAGCCTGCTCTGTTAATTACACAAACAAGCCTTTGCAAAGTTGACAGAATAACTGTATCAGTCCTTGAGGTGGGAGAGTGGACAGTTCCTGATGAGACTTCTTAAAGTAAAGCCTCTCAGCACCCTTCCACTGATATCACAAGTTATTTGGCTTCAGATCTTTCTTTTGCTTCCTGAAACAGCTGCTCATACAGCAGAGTCATCCTGGAACAGACCTCTTTGCATTACTGCAGCTTAGAAAACATACCCTTTAAAAAAAAAGAGAAGTGGCTGCAGAGATGCTGGTTTTGTTTCTAGCCCAGCCACTTACTGCAGGTCAGAGCATGAGCTGTGCACAAGCAGGAAGCACAGGGGCAGTTGTCTGTGTGTCTGCCTACAGCTCTTGTGCAGATGAAGGAGAGGGAGATAGGTCAGTGTATCCCTCACCTATTCTTGGAGCAGTGTATTTATATCCCAACCCTCATTTGAGTCTAGGGTATTTGTGAGGTGATACAGCCTTTCTGACCCTTATTTTGCCTTTCTCTGAGTGGGGTGAGAGTACGTGCACAACCGATTCACCCAGCCAGGACTCATGATGCAAACTGTGCCTCAAGGTCCTGAAGGCCAAGGAACTAAACAAGGTCATTATTTGTTCTGGTCTGAAGGACAGGAGGATTGCTGAACTTGAAGAGAAGATGAAGACTCTTCAGAAAGGAGAAGGTAAAAATTGTTATGCCCTTGGCACCTTGCTTCTGCCTGTGGGAGAGCTGCAGAGCTCCTGGTGCTGCAACAGAGCAGGCCTGGGGACCTCCTCTCTGAGCCATCCTCACCTTAAAAGCTCAAGAGCCTCTTTGGAGAAGGCATCAGTTACACACACGTGGTGCCCTTTGTCAAAGCAGATCTGCACTCTGTACTTGCATCTGTTACTCAGCTTTTCTGGTGCAGAGTATAACATTATTTCCTGACCTATTTTCTATGGGTTACTAAGTTTCCATGAGCCTACACCAACCACACAGATACCTGAGGATGGTTAGAAAAAATGAACGGTAAATACCGCGGAGTTCAAAACAGGCTGGAAAAAAACAGAGCTACTCACAGCTAAGTGAAACCAAAAATCAGCTTGGAGTCTCAAACAGTGTTACAGGTCCAGGCTCACTTGCCCTGTAAGGCAGCCCAACTCTAAACTGAATCCAGCTTTGAGTGAGTCACTGAAGGTCTTTCCCCCCCATTCAGTTCCTTGGAATCCAGCAGCTCTCCAGCTGAGCTCACACTTCCTACAATGGCTGAACTACCTTGTTAGCACAAAACTCTGCTAAGTTCTCCATTTCCTGAGCAGAGAACAAGAATATGCCCACCAAACCATAAACATATATTTTCTAGCTCATCATGCATTGTTCTAGCCATTTTAGCCTAAACTTCTGGATTCAGCCTGAGTGGGCACCTGCTCATTTTTTTTAAGCCAAGCAATTCTCTTTGTATAATTGCAAACAGCACTGCTCACCCAGCTTCCTGCAGCATAAAACCTCACCAGTATTGTTCACAACTGTCTTTTAGTCTCTCAGCAACTTTATCAAACTGCTGCAGGTTGATTTGTCAGGGATCAGCATGCAGAGCTTGAGTTCACTTATGGTACAGGCAGGTACTGCTGGGGCATCTGCACTGTGTGACATGGGTTATCTACAGCTCTTCTTTAAGGCTGTACATAGAAAAACCATGTCTTCTCTTCCAGATGCTCCCAACTCATCCGCAGCAGAGGAACTGGAAATGAGGTGCCTTCAGCTGCAGACCCAGGTCTGGGAGATGGAGGTGAGACACCTGCTTCCCTTGCCTTAAGCCATCTTGCACTCTCAGTCTGCTTGGTCTTTTTCAAGCTGCCACTTTGATCACCACAATTCTTCACTTCACTACCCTGAAAAGAAAGAACAGGTTGAATGTGAGCTACAGGGCAGTAGAAGTTGGGTTTTTTTAATACACAAACATTTGTGCCTCTTGCCAGCCTCTTCATTTTGATTTCTAGAACTGTAAAAATATTCTTCACAGCTACTACAGACTTGAAAGATTGCTCTGTCACTACAGATACTTTAATTCTCCCTTTTGCCTACTACTAGTAGAGCTGCTACTACTACCTTGCCAGTGAGTTTGTCTGTTGGCCAGGACCAAAGAGCCCCAAGACAAACCTTTTTCACCTCCCCTTCTGCTTCTCATGGTCACAGCTGACCACTCTCAGGCTTCCACTTCTAGTTTTCTGAAACTCTGGTCTACAACACTGATTTGCACTTTCCTCTTACAGCAGTTTCTAAATGACTATGGTCTGATTTGGGTTGGAGAGAGACATGAACAGCTAGAAGATTTAGAATTACTCGAGGATGAAGAAAAGCTGCCAGCAAGGAGCCTCTGGAAGCCAGGTAAAGCATCAGCACTCTTTGCTGAAGCAGCTATCCTAGCTCCTGCTGCATGCTTGGAGAAGATATGATACTCCCTAGAGCAGATAAGCATCAAAAGACTCAGAATTTGAGTCTTCAGAATTTATCATCCTGTGCTGAGGTCTTCACATCAGTCCATCTCAGGGAGAGACATGGGGGCAATTTAACAGCAGCTAAGCCAGGCAAAGCAGTACTTTATACACCTATATTTTGTAAGCCCTGTCTAGGGGAAGAGGAGAGAACCCGATGGCTCAGCCATTTGGAATGATACTCTTACAGCAGCTGCTTCCTGAAGAGTTCACATACCCTAAACATTTGAAGCTTGGTTGTTCTAATAACAGTGATGTAAAATGGGTGGAAAACAGAATCAGATGCTTTGTGTATGTAGTAGCTGTAGTAACTTACCCATATTGTCTGGCTCCACCAGAGAGTATTGTTTGCCTTTCCTCCCAACCACCACGTGAGTGGTTTAATTGAGACCTGATTGTGCTGTATGAGGTCCAAGCATATTTGGCAATGGCTTCTTGGGAAGTGGTAACACAGAAAAAAAGAATAATACTCAGGCTGTACAGCTAATGCTGCTTCCTAATCACCATGCAAATATTAGCTAATTCTTCCCTCCCTTAGCTGCACGAGGGGAGAAGGTGGGGGAAACAGTAGAAATAATTTTAATTGTTTTCAGCTCACTTACCCTTTTTAAAGGATGTTTCCCCCACCCTCTTTTATCAAACTGTAAAAAAGCAGAACAGAAAATAGGAAAGGTTTTACCACTGCCTACACCTCCTTTCATTTCCTCTTCTGATCTCATTCTTCTGTCCCATCACAACTTGCTTACTGTTTCACCCTACCACCCTAGATAAACATCCCCAGTAGGGTCCCAGCAAGAGAGCTGACTGTGTTTACACTGGTACTTCCTAAAGCAAATCTGATGTATTTAGCCAATCTAGTTAATCCAACTAGTTAAATTCTTTCAGCACCACATTAAGGGACAACACAACACTTCTGAAACCAAAGATAAGTGTGGTCTCTAAAGAGCTGGCTGCATCTGTAGCTGGCTCTGGGGTTATGTTAGCTCGTAGCAAGAGGGCTGTTTCCCTGCTGCCCTGCCCTTGTGGTTTTGCACACACCCATGTAAACCTGGCAGCGCTGCACCACAGCAGCCGTGTCGCACCACACTTTGCAAAAATGCACGAGGCAAAGCACAGAGACAGCACAGAGAGACCAAAAAACATTAGGACTCAAATGCACCCCAAATTTACAGAGGTGAAAGCTGCTTAGCTGAGATGTCCTTCCCCCCTGTAACTCTGATCCCTCTGCTGCAGGTGAAGCAGTTGTTTCCAAACACCAGATTGATTTTGATTTAATCTTGGCAAATGTGAAGGATTTGAATGTGCTGGCTGGAGAAGGCATTTCTCAGATCGAGGACACACCTGGGGGTGCTCGGCTGAGACAGCTGGAACCCCTCCCTCTTACGCTGTATCAAAATGGGATCATCATGTTCAACGGACCCTTTCGGCCCTACGAGGACCCATCCACACAGGTATGGAAAGGTCTGTAGAGCAATTGGACCTGGAGCCATCCTGCTGTCATTCACTAAGCCTCAGGAAAGGGAATGTATCAGAATAGGGGTTGTGAGCCCATCTCAGCCCCAAAAAGGAGCAGATACCTCCAACTTCTCACCTGCATTCCCATGGGGCCTTTAAAGACTAGTATGTCTTTGTGTAGTAATTCTTAGATATGGAAATTCTGGGTCTTTTACAGACTTTTCTGCACAGAAATAACACAGAGAGGAGCAACCCAGAACAAATATATCTGTCATGAGATAAACAGAAAGTCTGAGGTATGACCATGAGCTCTCATTTTGTTTCAGCAATGCCTGCAGGATCTTATGGATGGCTATTTTCCTTCAGAGCTGCAGATGCGCTACCCAGATGGCATCCCATTGCAGGTAAAGCTCTGCAAAACCCTACTCATCAGCTTTTTGCAAGAAATTACTCTCTTGCTTCCCAAGAAAATGGTTCAGGTTTCTTTCACCAATCTGCTGGATGCTCCTCACATCATTTTAAGTTTGAGGTTTCTGAACACAGTGCACATGCAGCTTAATTCTGTGCATGTGTGTCTCGGGGAAAGGGTGGCTGGGAGCACACCTGCTAGAGCAGTTACAGGAAGTAACAAACATTTCAGCATCAGGACTGAATGGTTTCTCTGCCTCAGTGAATCTTGGCTTGGAACAAGACTTCTAAGAGCATAGCAGGCTTTGCAGAAGAGAAGCAGCATGTGCAGCATCTGAAGAGCTGTGTAACAAAAGGGAGAAAAAAGTTCTCCCATAGTTCCCCTGGAAAAGCTTTTAAAAACAGATTGAACAAATATCTCTCAAGGAAGATGTCTGGAGAGGGGTTTTTTTGCCACAATTTAAATGTATTTGTCCACCTGAGGTTCTTTTGGGCCTTACTTTTTGATTTCTCACAAATGGCAAAAAGCCAAGGCCACATTTTCAGGCAGAGAGCCTCAAAGGACTCTAAACTAGGCCTTCAAGTGCATCCACAACATAAGCAGGCACAGCCAGAGGGATGCACCTACCCACTGCCACAAAACAAGCAAGGCACAACTGCACGGGCAAGTACGAGGTCAGGACAGCCAGAGTGAGCTGGTAGGTGTGGTGAAGTCAGGTGGAAGAAGGAAGGTTGTACAAGGCTCTTGGGGCTGTGGTTCCCTATAAACTGTGCACAGCTGGACACACCTGGAAGCCACAGGACAGCAATCTGGGGTAAATACAGACACAGAGCACATCCACCTGTGGCATGGACAGTAAGAGGAGCATAAGTGGAACCCAGACAGGATGGGTGTACTGCTGGGGGCCTTGAGGCAGCACCCTGCCTTCCTTGGCTTGTTAGAGCCATCTGACAGTCCCCACTGCAGCTTCTTACTGCCAAATCCCTCCTCTCCACCTCCAGCCTGCTGCTTTCACATCACTTCCCACCCAGAGAGTGTTTTAAAGTGTGACAGCAGACGTGGAGGAAGAGTCAGATCCAAGCACATTTGTTACAATTTGTGGAAAGGAGCAGCTGCCCAGTGCCTGTTGAGATGGATGAACAACTACCCTGTGGTCTGGGTGGGCCAGCCTGGGAACTTGAGGGATTCACCAGGGTTTGCTTTGTTAAAGAACCTACAGGAGCTGAAAATGCATTTCATGGAGTTGGGATGGCTGGAGCAGCTTCCAAGGAAGCAGCTCTCTTGGTTTCATTTGGGGTTTACAGTAACTCTTGGTTGTCACTGCTGTGGTTAGTTGTGCTCTGATCCAGTGCAAGCTCGTACAGCAGTCAGATTTGCTTATGGCAGTTGGCCTTAATTCAACAGGTCACTGACAGAAGGGACGTGGTATTTCAGGAGAGGCGCCTTCCAGGGAGTTTTCCTGGCCATGGCCAAGTGGTTGGCCATTCAAAATCAAGTGAGGTGCAGGAAACCACCGAGATCTCAGGTAAATTCTTAAACCTGCCTCAAAAATGCTGCTAACTCCCAAAGAGGAGAATCAAAACCTTACCGGGGCAGTCCAGCTGGTAGGAGGGGAATGAGTAGGGTCTCAGCAAGGAAGGAAACACTTCTAGGTCAGAGCCCTGTGCTTGTACCCTGATGTTGGTTCAGGAGCTGGGAGCCAGGCAGCACACATGGTGTCCTCTTACCATTAAATCCTCCTAAAGAATGAGACATGACAAGTAATAAGAGTCCAGAAGATCACCAAGTTTCCAAAAACACATCTGCCCTGAGCCTTTCTGAAAGGCCGAGCTCCTTCTAGCTTCACATTTATCAGCAAAGAACGCTGAGGGAACCCTGCAGATCTCAGGGGAGTTGCCTGCAAACAACCTTCATTTCTCCTACAAGCTCATTCTGTAAAGGCGGAGATCTTCAAGCCAGATCAACCTTGGCTGTACAGAATATGGGACAATTCCTCTTCAGACTTTCATAAGAGAATATGAGACATAAGGTCAGGCCATAGATTCCTCATTTAGCTTCTAGACTCTGGCAATCAGTGTAAGCAAGACCTGTCAGGGTTGGAAAAGTCAGTCACACAGACAGAAAATAGTGATTTTTGCGAAAGTAACTAAATAACCCAAACACATGCATTGCTCACCAGTGACATCTTCCTATTTATATAAACTGTACGACTTGCTCGTTCATCTTAAGGCCATTCCCAGACAGAAGCTGTGCTCAATGTTTCCTTTATCCAAGTAGTAAAAAATAAAATAAAATATTTTCCCAGTGACACCACAGAAAGAGGAACAGACACCTACAAATACACCCTCACAAGATGAACAGTTTTCCAAGCCTGTAAGAACTGTCACAGTTTGTTTTTCCTGTTCACAGCAGGACTAACCAGGTTTCTACCCTTTTTTCAGCACACAGTTGGGGTGCACAGGCTGTGCAGTTGCTCACTGTCGATGTTGACAATCAAACATTTAGTGGGGCAGAAAGTGGGACAAGATTCAACAGGGGAGACTGAGGACCAGCCTCAGCCTAGCTAGGGGAGCTTAGAGCTCTCCCTGTTGGCTGCTGCACACTCTCATTTCACCAAATCAGCCTGTTCTGGGAGAAAATCGTTTGTCAAAAAGGTCACACACATACATATCTCCCCTCTGCTCTCATAGGTCCCAAACCCTCCTTGGAGCAGTTTTTCAACAAGCTTTCGAAGTCCTCAAAACAGAGAGGAGAAGTGATCAATGTCCCAGATCCAGCCCGAGCAGCACAGCAGGTATGAGTGAACCCCAAAAAACACCCACAGGAGGAGGCCAGCAGCCATTCCCTGCACTCAGCACCCTGCCTCAGCCCTCTCCTAGCTCTGCAAACCTCCTCCTCCAGAGAGGCCCCACACCAGAGCACACGTGGCACTTTGGCACCTGCTCCCTGGGTTTTCTTGGCCCTGGTTGCTCTCTGTGCAGAGCAGGCAGTGGTGACACTCACCTGGTTTGGTTTCAGGGCTCTGAAGGGGTACAGAGCAGCAAAGAGATCTGCATGGAGACACCCAGGATGTCTGCCCTGGAGAGGTACAGGCACAGCTCCTCCATCCCTGTCCTGTCAGGCTCTCATCTTCCTCCTGTTTCATCACCAAGGGTTTATTTCAGGGGTTCCAGTTGAGGATGTAAAAGGACTTGTCTCTTATCTTGTACCTTAGAAATAATTAGGAAAAAAAAAGCCAAGTTTGGTCTTTTGGAAGTCCACTGAATTACTCATGGTGAACCTGCCATCTTTTACATCTGTAACAAAAGCTTCTATTATTCAAAATATTACTTACTTATTGCAGTGAAATACTTTTACCAACAGCAAGCCAAGGCCTAAGAGTTTGAAACCATTTAAAAAGCTGTTTGTGGTCATGTTAAATGGGAGAATTCCTCCCGGAAAGTGATGCCCGAGTGGGAGGTCACACTAACACCACTTTTCCACTCACAGTCTTCTGGCAAGACAAGACCCAAATAGCTAGTGAAAAAAAAAAAAAAAAAAACAAACCCAAGAAGATTATTTTTAATCAAAAAAGTAGGGCAGAGTACTTACCAGACAGCCTTGATTTAAAATGAAAAAGCTAAAAAAGGTCAGCAACCCTCTTTCCAAGGCACCTTTTAAGCAGTGAAAGCAAAGCAGCAGCCTGGTCCGTGGGTCGGTCTGCTCACCCACAGTCAGGTGGGGCCTTGTTCATCTCAAGGACATTCCCAAGTGTGAAACACCTCTCTCCTGTTCAGATCACCCTGGCAGCCCAGAGGCTCTGCCACCAGCAGAGCCCTCACTCCTCAGCTAATGAGGTTTTCTAACCTCCAGGGTGAAGACAGCTGAAGAGGCTGAAGCTTCTGCCGCTGATGTCTGCACTCTCCGCATCAAATCTGAGAGCGGGGAGCAGACGTACGTCCTAAAGATGCTGTTCACAGAGACCATAGGGGACCTGCGCCAACACCTCGCCTGTGCCAGGTAGGCCTGGGACTTCCTCCCCTCCTCACAGACTGGTGGGGTGGGAAGGGACCTCAGGAGATCATCCAGTCCAACCCCCCTGCCAGAGCAGGTTCCCTACAGCAGGTTGCACAGGAAAGTGTCCAGGTGGGTTTGAACATCTCCAGTGATGGAGACTCCACACCCTCTCTGGGCAGCCTGTCCCAGGGCTCCATCCCTCCTCACTCCCCACTTGGCTCCATCAAGCCCCCAGGAAGGTTTCTCAGCTGCCACTCGAGACCCTGGAGCTCTGCTTCAAACAGATCAGCCTGAGCTGAGCAGGGCTGCAGGTTAGAGCCCCAGGAGCTGCTGGGCACCCTCTCCTTAGCTCCTCCCCACAGCAGAGATGTTCTCTGGGCAGCGCTGTCAGGCTCAGATCATTTAATACCCACCTCTGCAAAAAGCTGACACAGCAGCAGAGATAAGCCTCTTTTGTCCTCTCAAAATTGAGATCTGACCCAGGTCCTTCACTGCCTTTGCCTCCTTCCAGCTGCTCAGCAGCACTCATTGACTATTGCCACTGTTCCCAAGGGGCTGGTGCAGCCTGGAAGCTGAGCTGCAGCCTTCAGCTTGGCTGATGGATCCGCTGCTGGACAAACACCACCCTTTTGCTCTCCCAGCTCTATATTCCAATGCACTTAGTGCTCCCCAGGGGCTCACACATCCCTTTGGGGACAGTTCCAGATGGCTGAGGGGACCCCTTTGCTCTCCCCATTTCCCACTCCTGTTGTGGGCTGTAGCTCTGGTCTTGGTCTGAGCCCACGATGAGCTCACCGCTGTTGGGATGCACGAACCTCCTTCCCCACTGCAGCTGTGCAGCCTGGAACAGCCGCATGGCGCTTGGCTGGCTGCAGTTTGGGCAGGAGGCCCTTTTTTCTGCTCAGCCTGTGCTTGTGAAACTGTCTCTCCCTCTGCTCTTACACAACCACAGCTGGATCAGCCAGAGCATCTCAGTAAAACCTTGGGGGATCCTGAGTGTCGGAAAGATTGTGCTGTTCTTTCCTAGGGGTGGAGACTCCGACTCGTATGAGATCATCAGTACCTTTCCCCAGAGGGTGTACACGGACAACACCAGGAGCCTGCAGGAATGTGGTCTGATCCCCAGTGCCTCCTTGCTGCTGCGGAGAAGAGATCCCTCCCAACAAGAGGGGATGGAACAGCAAACAGCTTAACAGCTCCCAGCAAGAGCTGCTCCCCACAAATTCTGCAAGAGGAAGGAGCTGCCTTGCACCATTAGCTGTGTTACAACATCCCAGTCTGGGAATTGAGGAGGGGTGTCTTTTCAGATTTAGCTTCATTGTGCCATTACCTGGGCTGGAGAGAAGAGCTCAGAGGCAGCAGTTTAGCTTCTCCCTTTGGCAGAAGGTACCAGGTCCAGTCCTGCTGCCTCACAGGTGGATGCTTCCCTGCCCCCAAGACAGGTGGGCTCCAAACACAGGAGCATTTCTGCCAGCTCAAACCCAAGGCCTGGTTTCTCATCTCTGCTGAAGCTGATCACCACCCAGGGAAAGCCACCAGCTTTACACTGGTACTGGGCAGTCCCTTAGCTGGGCTCAGGGATTCTCTCCAGCAGCAGGAGAGACAAACAGTCAGGGTCAATTTCCTTTCCACACAGAGCTGCTCCCTAGAGGTTTCAACTGCACTTACACCACAACAGAAACAAGCTCAGATATATGGTCCCTGGTGAAGCTAAACCAAAAAGCCTTGAGCCATTGCAATGCTGGGACAGAGCCAGACACCTCTCAGCCAGGAGATCCTGCTACTGGGTTTCCTGGACATGAACAACTCCCTCCCTTGGACAGCCCCCAGCTCCAGCAGGGCCCAGGCTGGCAGCCCCGAGCTACCAGCTTCCCTCCCTTCTTCCCTCCCCTCCTTCCCAGCCTGCTGCAGCCGGAGCTGGATGCTGCAACAGGACACCGTGTCACTGGAGAAGAGCGTAATCC